TGGGGAAGATTTAACAAAAAGGCCAGGTGTTTTGTGACGTAACAAATACTAGATGCTTGCTCTTCTAGGAAGTTATTTGTGGTCCCGGAAGTTAGTTATTCATTGTTCAATTGATAAACATGAATTGAGCATTTTTCTGGGGTGCTTAATACTTTTGGCTAAGGTTGTACAACGGAATCACTTAGACAAAAATAAATATGACTCGACTTATAAATACAAATTTATGCAGGCACTATAATATTTCATAGGATGAGATAAAACATATCAGTATTAATTTATATTTAAAAAAATATAGATATATAATTAATAACTGTTCTAACAATATTATGAAGTTAAATAGATTTAGGAAGGACCATTACATTTTATTAGATAAAAATACGATTCACTTCACTATATATTGGACTTAAATTAACTACTGATTCATGACTGACATCTTCACTGGACTTAGAGTCCACTCTACAAGTAATGAAACCAAAAATTTTACTTATGACATCAATTTTAATTTACATATAACTGTTTGGATTTCGAGTTTATATGTTTATATGTATTATAGAATAATTTATTCAAATTATTTCATTGTCACATCGCTGTATGACTTATGTATCTTATTTTGAGATCAGGACTTATAATCCACATTAGAACTAGAGAGTTCTACTAATACATTTAGACTTATGTACATATGTACATAGTAGACTATATTTCACAGACAAGAACACTTAATACCAGGTTCTTGATCTTAATAAATTATATAAAAATATGATTTCATCTCGAACAACGAATCTCGAATACACTACCTTGTCTCTTTACTGAACTATCTGAATGATGCATAAAACATTTATAACTACATTTATACCTACCCCCCACTTTTCAGGAGGAAGAAATTAGTCAGGTGGCAGTCTTCCACTCCTGGCTGGGCGTATGGATGGGGCCCGACCAGATCTCATCCCTTAAGGGTAACTGGAGTTGACGTAATGTCCAAATTCACTTAGTCATTATTAAAAATACTATTACATCCTACCATCAACGTACTTACATAACTTATTAGTTTTTTTACATGTAACTCTTCATAGAGTTCATTTCGAGAAGTTAAAATCTTTTCTTTCCATATAAATGATGTATTAAAAATTCACACGACAATTGTATGCCCCAATTTTCAGGAGGAAGTAATTAGTTAGCTGGCAGTCTTCCACTCCTGGCTGGGCGTATGGATGGGGCCCGACCAGATCTCACCCCTTAAGGGTAACTAAAGTTGACGCAATGTCCAAATATCCTTATTTCATTATGAAATATAGTATTGTATCTTACTCTCTAATTTACAAAATCAATTCGAATTAAATATCACCCATCGTGTAATATGTCGTTTATTTATATTAAATAAATAGCTTAAAAAATAAGTTTTAAGCTTCTAGCTTTGAAAACGACGATATTTCCATGCAACCTTTCTTCACACCTTTTAACCCCTTACTACGCTTTAAAAAGTCGCCTATGTCCCACCCCAGAGTTGAGACTATCTCTATACCAAATTTCATTTTAATTGATTCAGTAGTTTTGTAGTGAAAGCGCTATAGACAGACAGAGTTACTTTCGCATTTGTAATATTAGTAAATTATTTTTAAAAACCTGAAAAGTCAAAGAAAAATGATCATCATTCTATCTTCACACATGACTAATTTCCGTACCAACTTTCATCCTCTATTTAATTTTACTCCTTAAGGGTAATATAATAGTAATAATAATAACTGTATATCACAACAGACCAGATATAACACTACATGATAAGAAAAATAAAATAGTTTATGTTATAGATATTGCAATACCAAACACACAATCTTTTACAAACACATACAGAAAAAATTGCTAAATATACTGATTTGGCAATAGAACTAAAAATACAACGGCAGGTAGAAACAGTGAAAACTCTCCCAATTATTATCTCGTCCACAGATGTCATCCCAGCATCCCTACACACTAGCCTCAAGATATTACAACTTCACCCACTTACTTTCATACTTCTCCAAAAAGCTGTAATATTAAACACTTGTAGAATAGTCCGCAAATTTTTGTCTTCCACTTAAAAATTATCCATCCTCATCATTCATAATTTATACTGTCATTGTTTGGTGATTTTTACCCGCAATGATCAGTCTATTACCCCATCAAAGGGAGATATATAATATATAAAGAAAGAATAATAATAATCTCAGGACAATTCACACAGAGCCATCTAGACCTAAGTTAAGCTAGCTAAAGCTTGTGTTATGGGTACTAGATAGCTGATACGTATACATAGATATTTTTTTTTGTAAATACAAACATATTATATATAGAAAACACCCAGACCGATACAAACAACCATACTCATGAATACAAATGTTTGAGCTGTGCGAAGAATCGAACCCGCGACCATCGGTCGTAAAGCGGTGTCCTAGACCGCTAGACCACCGAGGTCGTCTAATAATATTTGTATAACCTTTGAATTTTATATTTAATCAACAGTCTGAAATATAAGTTTCATGTTTAAGTTTCAGCTTTAAAATTAACGTTACTTTCATACCGTACACACGAATACAGTTAATTTCGCATTTATAATATTATTATTATATATATAATAGCATAAGATATAAAAAATATTAAATGAAGTTCGTGTCAACGGAGAACAAAGCTTATTTGACGTCCTCGGTGGTCTAGCACACCGCTTTACGACCGATAGTCGCGGGTTCGATTCCTCGCACGGCACAAACATTTGTATTCATGAATATGATTGTTTGTATCGGTCTCGGTGTTTTCTATGTATAATATGTATCCATTTACGAAAAAAAATTATCTATATACTTGTATCAGTTATGTAGTACCCGTAACACAAGCTTTAGATAGCTTAACTTGGGACTAGATGGCACTGTGTGAATTGTCCTTATATGATATATTAAAATCACCTGTGACTTACTTTCAAATAAAACTGGGTCGACAAAAATAACTGTGTCTGAACGAATTAGTTTCAGCAATTATATTAGTTTGGTTATAAGAATCAAATATAAAGTTGAGGTCGTAAAATAACAAATGTTCAACTTATTATTCAAATCGAGCAGTCCTATGGTTAACAATCAACTTTAAATTGCTAACGCCGCTCACAACCGACCATACTTGATGGCTTTTATATACATTATTATGTATGTATATACATTATTTGACATTATTATACACTAGAATTGCATATCCCGCTCCTATTTAATGTTAGACATATACACCTATATAAATATACATTGTAAATAAACTGACTTTTAAAAATATAGTAATGCAATTGAGTTTCTTGCCACTGTACGTTTAAATAATTTGCAACTTTACATCTATATTTGATAATGCAATACCCTCCTTTATTCTACAAATACATAATAATATATTATAATATCTCAGGACAATTCATACAGCGCCATCTAGACCCAAGCTAAGCAGAGCTTGTGTTATAGGTACTAGACAACTGATATACTTGTATACATTTTTTTTGTAAATAAACATAGAAAACACCCCAGACCGATACAAACAATCATACTCATGAATAAGCAAGGAATCGAACCCACGACCATCGGATAGTAAAGCGGTGTACTAAACCATCAAACCAGGCGCTCGTCAGACTGTCACATAGTTCATTAATCGTCAGTATTGATGTACTGCATCGAAGTTCGTTGGTTTATAATACGAGCCCCTAAATCCAATCAACCGACAACGTGTCTAGTCACCACAAAGCACGTTTGAGACCTGTTGTACACAAAGACCGTGTCTGTACAGGTACTGTGATTAATTATGCATAATAATCTGAGAGACGGTGTCTCGACGTTTTCATCCTGCAACGTCGGTGTCAAATAGACTAAGTCTAATAAATCAGGTGTTGCAATTTGTCTGATATAGACGTATACAATATATTACAACGATGTTGAGTATACAAGATTTTGGGTAATCTATTTGTATATTATAGAAATAGAAATAGAAATAATCTCTATTCAAATAAACTCATTACAAGCACTTTTGAATAGTCATATTTTGATTCTACCACTCATTCGGAATGCAGATTCATCACAAGAAGAATGAGCAAGAAACTTGTGTGTTGCTCTTTTTAATAGATGTTTTTTTATATAAATAATTACAGTATAACAAGTAAGAGGCATGCGATAATCAACATAGAAATCGCTACGCATTCATTATTAGTGTAATCAGATAATATTGTCAGTACTATGTATTTAAAGTTTTTCTATAAATTGTATATATGCACATGCATATACAATAAATGTATATTTAATAAATTAAAAATACACACTGATATATACATACTTTTATATCACGCAACAGCAAATATAAAAAACTGTATTTAAGAAATAAAATCTTATATATAAAATTCTCGCGTCACAATGTTAGTTACCATACTCTTCCCAAACGGCTTGATCGATTTTTATGAAATTTTATATGCATATTCAGTAGGTCTGAGAATCAGTTACTATCTATTTTTCATACCCTAAGTGGTAAGGGATATCCACCCCTAAATATATATTTTTTATTTTAACGACATAATATTTTATTTTCATTTTATTATTATTTAGAATTGAAAAATACATACAACCCTAAATTTTGACCCTTCTATCATCAACCCCTATTTTTTATAACGTTTACGAGGTCAGCTAGTAGAATAGAAAATTATTTATTCAAATAACATTATATTGAAGCACTTTGGACTAATTATTTTAATCTACTGTTCATTCGGAATGATATCTCATCACAAGAAGAACAAACAAGAGTTTTGCATGTTATTCTTTTAAATAATTTAGTTGTAAGTTTATCTTTTTAAATTGAAATCTATGATTACAAATTACCATACAGCACTAATTCATAATCGAAATAATAAATACACAACCAATTGGTTGAGTAACTAATTAAATATAAAGTACAATAAATTTAGTATAAATAAGTTTTATATTAATTTACTTTAGCTTTAAATGAACAATTTGTTACAGGACAAGAAGTACTTGCTGGTACCCTGGATTGTGGCAATGATACTGGAAACCACTGTCGAGATCATTAACATCATGTATCTGTTCTACCTGCAATTTGTGGCACCGGTATGTAATTTTTTTTATTTTATTAGACACTATCTCTTACTTATAGACGAGGAAAATAGTTAGGACACTTGATACGGCACGATGATTTCATGAAAATTATTATTGAGGGGAAAATAAAAGGAAAGAGGGGGAGGGGAAGACGAAGGAATAGCTACATCAAACAAATTGGGGACAAAATGGGAGTCGTGTCGTATCAAGAATTAAAGAGCACGATGGAAGATCGCGGAAAGTGGCAAGAGCTCCACCGACAAGAGCGTAGCTCTTAAATTATGAATGAATGAATTAATATCACTTACTTAATTACTCAATCTATAATAGGTTGAGTTATTAAGTAACTTACTATAGGTTGAGTAATTAAGTAATTATTATAGGTTGAATAATTAAGTAATTATTATAGGTTGAGTAATTATAATAGGTTGAGTAATTAAGTAACGTATTGTAGGTTGAGTAATTAATCACTCTATTGTAGGTTGAGTAATGAAGTAAGAGTAAAGAGTAAATGTAATTTAATTTTAAACACAAACTATTGCAATACCATGCTAATTTTGCATACACGTATATTTAGGATTAGAATGCACGGTTGTAGTTCAACTATGAACGTCATTCTCATTGTCAGTCCAATATGTCTGACTGCCAGAAATAGCTATTTATGGCGAATGCACAAAGTTAGTTGCGACTATGCTTCAGAGCAAACTTATGTTATGGATCTAAAATTATATTCGACCATCTCATCTAATCTATATCTAATAATGAGTTAAGCAGTACTGAATAGTAGAATAGAATAGAATAGAAAATCATTTATTCAAATAACCTTAATTTAAGCACTTTTGAATAGTCATAACAATTTGTTTTTTATCTACCACTCGTTCGGAAAGCTGTCTCATCACAAGAAGAACGAGCAAGAAACTTGTGTGTTGCTCTTTTAAATAATCCTTGTAAGTTTACATTTACAAGTCGAAACGTGTGAATACAAACTACCAACAAGCACTAATTTTTTGGGTCAAATATAATAATGCAATAAGATTAAATCAGTCGTAGTGATAAGAGCAGACCAGTCCCTACAAGCAGCACTCGTTCACGAGTATGACGGATGAGCCAGCCATCACTGCGCGCGACCATATTTTTTTTGGGAGCCCATTGACCCGGCCCACCACGCCGCCACATGTCTGGACATTTTAGTGAGCATGACTACTCATTCCACACGACCACGTCACAGCTACAAAAATTACTATATGGTAGTTACAGTATTCGCACTTTACATAAGGATGCATGCGGCAATCAATACAAAAGCCGCTACGCTATCATATATCAAGAAAGCAGTATGTACTTAGTACTTTAGTAATGAAGTACTTGCGACCGTGCCATTCCAAATTGAGGTATATAGTGTTGTTTGTCTCGTACTTAGTCTTAAATGTTTATATTTATATATTTACTAGCTGTACACACGACATTGTCTAAGTGTACTAACTATATATAAAACAAACAAACATACAATCAGGATTAGTGTCTAACAGGAATAGTTTGTCTGTCGATGTTTTGATGAACGCAACATTTGAGATTTCATTGGGTATATGTAATTATTAATGATATTTAACGCAGTTATTAAGAACCAGGGATGGTATGGATATGAAATTTCAGATACGGATAGGTTTCGGATATAGAAATGATTATTACGGATAGTCTCATTTTTACAAACTTTGAATATCACGTTTATTTGTATTTAATACTAGCTTTTCGCAACGTCGTCCGCGTGGAATATAACTTTATTTTTTTAAATTAAAAATAGCCTCCGTTACTCCTTATTACATCAACTACCTGCCAATAAAAGTCCCGTCAAAATCGGTCCAGCCATTTCAGAGACTAGCCGGAACAAACAGACAGACAGACAAAAATTGTATAAACAGTTATTTTGGTGTATCTACCGTATTCATATTCATACGCATGTAGTAAAACACGGTTATTTCAATATTACAAACAGACACCTCAATTTTATATATATGTATAGATTTGCAAACACCATATATATCATATTGCCTCTCAATTAAGATTGATAGATCTGATAGTGTTTCATACTTGTATTTAAATTCGCTACGAGTTTTTATATCCTGTAAATCGAGGAGTTTCATAAATTGATGGATCTCAATTAATTTTAATTATTTTGAAACTAGATTATATTCATGAAGCATATATAGTAAGTAATTTCATACTTACATTTACCGTTAATATATTTTTAATTATCTGTTATTATTAACCAAAATTAATTATTTATTAATTAATTATTTATAACCAAATTGACTTAGAGACAAAATAGGTATATTGATATACCTGTTTTATCTTTAAGTCAATTTGGTTATACAAAAAAGATATCTTTTAATGTTTAATACCTTTATGTCATCATTAGTATAAAAGAAAGTCCCTGTCGCTGTCTGTCCCTATGTATGCTTAAATATTTAAAACAATGCAACGGATTTTGAAGCGGTTTCTATTAATAGATAGAGTGATTCAAGATGAAGGTTTATATATATTTATAGTAACATTTTTCACCCTTTTTATCTGTCTGTCTGTTTGTTCCGGCTAATCTCTGAAATGACTCGAACGATTTAGACGGGACTTTTTTTGGCAGGTAGCTGTTATAATAAGGAGTAACTTAGGCTACTTTTATTTTAGAAAAATAAAGTTAAATTCCACGCGGACGAAGTCGCGGATACAGCTAGTATTATTATATTATTCCTATGAAAAAATTACCTTTGAAATTGCCATAAAAAATATATTATAATATTTTTTATAGACAACTAGTTGTCCCGCTATCTGTCTCTATATATGCTTAAATCTTTAAAATTATCCACCTGATTTTGAAGCGATTTTTTTCATATAGATAGAGTAATTCAAGAGGAAGGTTTATAATTATATATATAATACATGTACACCCGAGCAAAGTCGGGGCGAGTAGCTAGTTCTTCATAAAAGAGATGTAGACTATTTAATTCTTTCGAAGGATTAAAAATTTCAAATTGCAGCAAAGTATGTAATGTCTACAGGGCACGAAGTATTAACAAATGTCTCCTTATATTGTACGCAGACACTGTCTCGTCGAGGCATTTAAAAATGAAATACCTCATCAAATACTTTATAGAAACTGCACCGATGTCTTATATCGCAAATAAAACAGTATACGGCATATGGATATATATTAACGTTTATGTACTTTAAGATGAGTATGGCAGATTTTAATCATACACCAAAAATAAACAAGAAATATAGTTACAATTATTGAATAATAGCTAAGTGCCTAAATGTAAGAATAAATAGAATAAAATAGAAATAATCTTTATTCAAATATACTTAATATAAGCACTTTTGAATAGTCAAGTTTTTTTTATTCTACCGCTTATTCAGAATGCAGATTCATCACAAGAAGAATAATAATAATAATAAGAGGAAATACATTCACAAGAACTCAACAGATCAATTTACAATAAGTACACACACACTCACACATACACACACGCGCACACATACACACACTCTGCACTTACTTGGTTTCGGCCCGTAAGTCTGGAGAAAACCAGCAATAGCTGAGAAAAAATAAAGAATTCAAATTCAAATTCAATAATAATCAAAGAATAATAATAACCTCAGGACAATTCACACAGAGCCATCTAGAACCCAAGTTAAGCTAGCTAGAGCTTGTGTTATGGGTACTAGATAACTGATACATATACATAGATTTTCTTTTTGTAAATACATACATATTATACATAGAAAACACCCAGACCGATACAAACAATCATACTCATGAATACAAATGTTTGTACCGTGCGAGGATCGAACCCGCGACCATCGGTCGTAAAGCGGTGTGCTTGACCGCTACACCACCGAGGTCGTCGTATAAGCAAGAAACTTGTGTGTTGGTCTTTTAAATAAATATTGATTTACTTATATTTAATCTCTGTTCAATCAGATAACATTGCCAGCGCTATGAATTTTAAGTTAGATATTTTCTTCAAAAACATTATTATCATTTAAATTCTTCAATTTTATAATAAGCTTTTTTACAAAGAAAATATTTTATACTGTACCCACGACTTCGTCCGCTTTGAATTTAACTTTTTTCGAAAATAATAGAATTTTTCTAAGTTACTCCTTATTACATCAGCTACCTGCCAAAAAAATTCCCGTCGTAATCGTGACATGTGCCCGGAATAATGCACAACTTAGGTTTTGTCCAGATTACTAGAATCCACACAGACCCGAATGAACAAATTTTTAGAATAAATATAAATTTCTATAATTTGTGCAGATCTTAGCAGCAGAAATACAGGGGCGTATCAGATATAATTCAGCAGACCGCTTTTTCCAATAATCACAAGTTCAACTGCACACTATACAAAGTAACAATCATCATCATCATCATCGCAGCCCGGAAGACGTCCACTGCTGGACATAGGCCTCCCCCAAAGATCTCCACGACGATCGGTCCTGCGCTGCTCGCATCCAATGCCTTCCAGCGATCTTACCCAGATCGTCGGTCCACCTTGCTGGAGGCCTTCCCACGCTGCGTCTTCCGGTCCACAATTATTTATTTACAAAATATGTTTAAATATTTTAATAATTTGTCTAGTACATAACACAAGCTCAAGCAGAGCTTTATACTATTTAGTATGATTTGTCCAGGGTATATTCTTATTTATTTAAAACTATATTTAGACGTACAAAACGTTTGTAACCTGTAACGACATTAGAACGGTTAAAATCATTTTACACAAATCCTAATTGATAGAATACATCTAGTTTAAATCCTAATTGGTAGAATACATATAGTTTAATTGCTATCTGTATTCTAATTGCTAAGTGCATGCAAAGTTGTACAGATCACGGGAGTACGAAATTAATAATTAGATTATTCATTTCGTATTACTCGCCAATGTATTGCGATTGATAGAGACGCCTAAAGCGAGCTTTTAAGCTCTCCCGTCTACCCCCCTTCTCCCTTCTCCATA